TCGCTCTTAGGTTGGAGGCCATCGCTCTTAGGTTGGAGGCCATCGCTATTAGGTTGGAGGCCATCGCTTCTAGATAGGTGTGCATCTTTTCTTTTGACATTTCTTGACAGGCCTCGATCCACCAAACGCAGCTGAGTGACCCAGAGGAAAGGATTGGGATGGCTGGCTTCTGTGCGTTTAGAGTCGCACCATAAGGAAAAACAAATTCCAGACCGCCGTCGTCCTGGCCGCACTCAAGGACACTGACTCAGCCGGATACTCTTTCACTTGCGTGATGACTTTTAATGGAGCGGCAAATCACTGTACTTTGGGTATGACAAAAGACTTGCTGACACCAGAATGAACAGCCATCTCTGTATATACCCTCCTTCGCGACAGTGACAGTCTCAGCATCTTCCTGCGCAGCGAACTGTTGAACTATACTGGATCAAGCTGGGTCTTCTGGCATCGCACCTGATCCTGATGGTTCAACCGGAACATACACGAACATACACGTAGGGGACCTTGAGGACAATGTTGCCAGCTGGGGGAAGAGTAAACATCCCACGTCCAGCGTGCCACAATAATACCAACTCATGGCACCCAGGTATCAATGCCAACTCCCCTCGGACGACAATTGTTCTTAGCCAGGCAGAAGTAAGCAAACAGGAGGCAGGAGGCCTAGCAAACATCCTCTCGCCACCAAAACAACGACAATACCAATTATGTTACCCTCCCTGAAACAATCATGGAAGTGGAATACAGCCTGTTCATAGAGGAATTTAGTCTTCCAAGGGGCCATGCTCCACTTCCATGTTTGTTGGATGGAGGGTACAAAATATGTTATACCGTTATACCTTATATCAGGCGTTGCTCTCTATCTCTGTTGTCACATTCCGTAAAGGTTCTGAACTATGTTGTCCTTGATGTTGTGGAACATGGATTTGGATATTTCTGTTGTCCTTGATGTTGTGGAAAGTGGTTTTGGAAATGTCTATGTTGTAACCAATGTTGTGGAAAATGGAGGAGTCCAGGAGTTCACATTCAAGGACTCTTTTGGTTTTCAGATATCGCTTCAGTTGATTAGGAACGGGTACATGTTCTCTCTCTTCAAAGGGCACATCAGGATGTGACTTTCGTACAGTAAACTTTGCCAAATACATGTGCTTTTCGGGCACCGGGAGCCCGGATATGAAGAAACGAAGCAAAGGAACAGACCAATAATCTAGAGTAATATTAGTGTAGAGACCGACGCAAGTCCGAGTCATGATCAGTTGCATCTTCATCAACCCACCAGCCGTCCTTGGTGATGTTCAAGGCTAGCTTGTCATTGTTTTCCTCAAATCGCAGGGATTGGTTCCACGTTCAGGACGGTTGCACAGTCTGACACATCTGGGTCCGCTTGGGGCCCTTTCAATTGATGCTTTGATCCAAGCATCAGCAAAAAATCATTGGGCTACTCTCATACAATTAAAGTCAGCCCAGAAACGAAAAAAAACGCGCTCCAACCATCAGCACCAATCATCATGTTCCCCCATGTTCCCCGAGGTCGTCAACATAACATGATTTCCTCAAATACTACAGTAAGCATGCACTACACATGCGATCGTAATATTCATGCTGCTGTCTGCACAGCCCCAAATCACGATAATTAGCTATAGGCGTCCTTCTCTTGCTTTTTCCTCTCACCGTTGGCCGCGCGAACCTCATTTCGAGCTTGGCGGTGGCTTTGACTGCCTTCTCATGCTTATTCCCCGTAAGGCACCACCAATCAACCTTCTGCAACTCTGAACTTGGAAGCCTGGAATGATCTGAGAATTAAGTCACTGGGAGACTGTGACGGAGAAAGGCTCCGGCAAAGTCGCGACAAAGTGTGCCATGAGTGATGAGGCACTCCTGCATCATGGGAAGTGCTCTTGGACATCAAAGCTCCCAAGTCCTTCACCTTGCCTTTTGAATTCCTAGAATTCTAATGAATTCAAAAATGGCGATAGATTCCATATTAGTCCTCCTGGCTGGTGTCAACACGTATGCTTGTCCAGCTTAACCCTGATGACCAAAAGCGAGCGCACGGTTGGACTGTTGTGCCTTGGGATGATGGTACTTGTGGTAGACAGTGCGAACCTCGGAGCAGAGTTCCTAATAGCTTATTGTTACTACTAGTATGGCACTTTTTACTAGAAGCGATGCACTTGTTTCTAGTAGCTTCTTGTTACTAGTAGCGATGCACTAGTAGCTTCTTGTTACTAGTAGCGATGCACTTGTTTCTAGTAGCTTCTTGTTACTAGTAGCGATGCACTTGTTTCTAGTAGCTTCTTGTTACTAGTAGCGATGCACTTGTGGGAGACAGTGCGAACCTCGGAGCAGAATTCAAAAACAGCTGCGACAAGGGTTGCAAACTCGCTTGCACAAGCTTCTGAGCAAGCCGGCTGCCGCACCGCACTTTCTTCGTTTTCCATGCTTCACCACCATGCAGAATCATGCAACATCAGATCGTGCACACTTCACACAGCACACCGCCTGGGGTGCATCTTCGCAATTTGTGTGGACCTCAACTCTCCTCAGCCTTTACTGGGAAAAGGGTGTCCAAGTCTGGCGTGCCAGCGGCCGGGGTTGACTCGATGCCACACTCGTTCTGCCCACGACGCATCTTGAAGAGCCCGTGCATCCCCCACAGGGGTGAGTAAGAGTTGGCCAGGAGCCAGTAGTCCACGGGTTCCTTCTTCAACTCCTGGTCAAGCCACTGACGGAGACGAAGACCACACAAGCAAAACAAAGCTGTCATCCCCATGTGTTTTTCAATAGCTTGATTGTTGAACATGTGCATGAGACAAAGCAACATCGGCCCAACCGCTGTGTCATCGCATTCGGCCTCCTGCGTTCCCCAACCAAGTAGGCGGACTGCATGTCCTGAGCCAAAAAGGGGAGCCTTTTAGATGCTCAAAAGGTACAAAAGCATATAGGATTCGGAGAACAGACTCCTCCAAACACTTTCATTCCTCCACAGGGTTCCACAATTGGGACAAAGTTTGGGACATCAGTCACAAGCCAAATGGTCTAGAGTCTACAAATACCTTTGACCTTCCCAGGAGCTTTGCGAGCATGTTTTACGAAGGAGGCAATTGCTAGAAATGTCAGAACCATTGGTTGGAAAAGCGACTTGTCGCTCCCAATCACAATAGCAAAAGAGCATCAGCATGCAAGCAGCGAGGCTCTGGACTTCATGACAAATGTCTACACACACACACACACCCTCAACAAAACAAATCAGAAGCGAGTGCGTGTAACACGTATCTTCAAAAGAGCGGGTGTCACCGGTGGTTTTGTTATAACGTCAGCTTGTCCCCTCCTGGCCGGACCGGCCCCAAATCCGATGCGCCTCCCAAAGGTCCATAAGCACCCGGGGTTCGGAAGTAGACACCACTCCTGGTGGGAACTCTGGTTAAACATGTTTACACGTCAACATGCTAATGTGTGAATAGGTTCACCTCTGTAACACAGGTTCTTTCTGATGCATGTTCCCTGCAAGTCTCCAGAACTACAGTAGTGTTTGCATTTGGCTGAATACATCTGAATACAATACTTGGTGATTCATGTTCCAGTTCACCTTGGAAAAGAAAAAGACATGGGCCTGGATGAAAATCCAAAACTGTTGTCAAAAGGAAATTGGTCCGGTTGCTTGAGAGCATCTGCTCAGCTGCCATCTTTTGCACTTCCTGCTGACTATTTTGCTAGACTTGCATGTAATATAGGGCTCCTACGAATAAATACCAAACAAATACTGTGCAAATCTTGCTAGAACTCTGCCGTGATCCAGTTCCGCCGCCACAAAAGCTCAGTACCGCGTAGTTCTCCTGTAGCTCATGAAGTCTGAGAATACCTTAGGCAGCAACCATATGAGAGACTGCTAAAACATGGGCTGGCGTGGATGCCAAAAGATCTAGTCGAGCATTGTTGAAATTTGTCATAATGATAGTGTTCAAAGCATTTTCCTGCAATGATGCCCCAACTTGGACCACTTTCTTGTGAGATCGGCATGGGCGACGATCCTGAAAATAAATATGGACATACATCAAATTCATCTTTGTTGCTCATTGTGCAATCTAGAGAGAGTGTTTGGAATCTGAGATGGCCAGAAAGCCACATGGCCAGGAGATGGTGGTCGTCCAAAGGAAAATTTGGAAAGGCTGTCTAACACCTCAGAACAGTTCCAATGGTTGATTTGTTGTTATGCTCTTCTTCTGATGTTCTTATGTTCTCCATGTTTGAATCTCCTATTGTTCTTGGCCACACTCATCTGCCATCTGCTCCATTGCCAGGCCACGAAGAAGGCCACCTCCACTGGCCCGCCCTGCATGACTTCCCGCTGGAGGGCTTGCACATCACGTGGCCGGGCTGCGGCGTAGGCCTCCAAACGAATTGGCCGCAACTCGGCAACTCTCTTATTTGAGAAATGTTCTCTGTGTTTCTCGGGGACTATAGCATAGAAAAACACACAGTCCTTTCGGACAACATAACATAGATTCTTAAACCCAGCCTCACCAACTTTAAAGAAACTCATGGAGGAGCCATCAGCGCAGCGGCCAAAGCCTTGGGGTGAGAGGATGAGGCTTCTTTGCTCCACTACGCGACGCCTCTCAATGATGGGAGGCACCCACAACCATCGCACTCAGTCGCTTCATGCGACTCCATGTCACTGCTGGATCACAGTTACTCTATTGATTGAACACTGAATTATATAAAGTCTACATACAGCATTACAATCTCATTCACGTTTAACTAAACCGGAATTTGCTCACTTAGGACCTGGCAAATCTTCTTCTCCTTCTTCTGTTCAGCTGTCGCAGTCAAAGGGATGAAAGGCCTGACGAACACACAAAAACAAAAACATTGCTCAAGTAATTTTTATATTCATTGGAATGCCGTTGGCCAATTTCTTATTGAAAGGTTGTGACTGTTTCGAGAGTTTCCTGCAGCTTTATCCACCCCAATACTTTGCAACAGTCTCAAGAATCTGCCAAGACATGTCACCGCCGAATGCTAAATCTCTTCACCATATTTGAGCTCGTCCAACTTGGCCTCTTCTCCCAGCCGTACTCGCAGGATCGTTGGATGGGCACAGGGCAATGCATGTAGGGAGCACAAGTCTCCTGCAGCGAACCCAGCATCTCTGAGTGAGTCTGAAACGCAGGACAAAGCTTTCTTACTTCTGGCCACCATGGAGCTGAGGCCCCAACTACAAAGCATCGCTACTAGTAACAAAGAAAGAAGGAAGAAAAATTGATTATATACTGTTGTTTTTGTTTCTGTTGTGAGCATTGCACTTGACACCTTGACATGGTGAACCGATCGAAGCTGCTTTAACTTAAGCGCCCAAAGAAAAAAGGGGCGATCCCGTGCGCCGCCATTTCGTTTGGAGCCGACCTTTCGTTGTGGTTTCGCTTTCAAGAGAAGAGTTTTTTTTGCAGAGCGGTTGGTTGCAAGCCTGGTGACTCACACCAGGTTATGAGCCCAAAGGTTCATGCTGGAGCATAGGCGACGACAAGCCAGCCGGCAAGAACTTGAACAGGGCCAAAAGGAGATCCAGGCAGCAGATGCCAGGATGAAGCGGGAAGCCAAAAAGAGAGGCGAACTTCCGATCGAAGATGCTAGGGTTGGAAGGGGGGGAAAAGGAAGCTCAGCGCCTGAAGACAAGGGGCATGATGTTGGCTCCACCCGATCGCCTACGGTCACCCTGCCATCCACCGAGGAAAGCGCCTCGGCTTCTAAGGCACCAGCAGTCTCAACTCCGAAGCCCATTGAGGATGAATCAGGTTTGCCAAAGCCGCCTGAAGAAGCACATGCCAGGACACCACAGGTTCTGGGACCGAAGGGTCATGAGAAAAGGGAGTCGCATGGTGTTGAAGTGATAGAAGAGAACCAAGGTCATGAGATGATTGAAGCAGGTCCCCATGGTAGGACACCGGAATCACATGCTGTGACCATGGCTCCACTCTTCACGCCTGAACAGTTGGACTCGTTGCACCAAGTACAAGCCCAAGCTCCATGGCTTTATGCTAGGTTGGAAACGCCACAAGCACCAGCATTGCAGCGGCCTTCGTTTCTTCCCTCCACTGACCGTGACTGGAGGGTGAGAAAGGAAGAAATGGACAGTAGAAGTTCTCAAGAGTTGATAGCCCATGTCCAAACTGCTGAAGCTGCAGAGAAAGAAGATCTTCTTCGCCACCTTCGACAGCTCACCTATGAGAATGGTTTGCTGAGGGATGAAGCTCAAAGAAGGATTCGAGAAGAAGTTGTGAAGCCACCAGCAGGTCTCCATGAACGACATGTTCAAACCCTGTTGGAAGAAAACCTTCGATTGCAGCAGGAGCTTCGTCGAATGTCCTCGATCCTGCCAACAGCCAAGGAAGACGACCCGATCTTTGCCACTCCGAATGGAAGCTCTGGTCGTGAAGAAGGAACTGGAGGACGGGGGAGAAAGACTCAACAAAGGGTTGAAGAAAATGATGGACGAAGGTCCAGTGAGGTTGATGATTCAAAAGGTCAAGAAAGCACCGCGCGCAAAGAGACAGAAGAAGAGCCAGTAAAGAACAGTGGCACTGGGAAGGGCAGAGGATCAAAGAAGAAAGAAGTGGGAAGTGAAGAAGACAGTGTGCATCACCAGACCTTGCAGGTGATCTTGAAGGTTGTAGAAGGTATGCAGAAAATGCAGGGTCGAATGTCAAAAGGATCCTCGACGGACTTGGAGAACGAGCCCGAGATGGTGAAGCACAATGTCGAGCTCCCCAAACTACCGGAATGGAATTGTGAGTCGGCGCCAATTGATTTCGCTGACTGGCTTCTGCTCCTGGCACCACTGATGGCTGACCTGACCTCAACGTCAGAAGAGTGGTGGAATTTGACCTTGGAGGAATCTCGCCAGTGGTATCAGCGCCACCTCACCAAGTCGCCCTTGGACCGGTTGACCCACCAGATATCGCCAAGTGCCAAGTTGACAACTCGCAAGTGGGCACGATTGGAGAAGCGAACTACAGCCCGACTCCTGTCTGCCATTCCAGAATCCCTTCGTGAAGAAGTTGTGTCGAGCAAAAGTTTGTCAACTTTTGGAATCCTGGTCAAAGGCATGATTGCCTACCAGCCTGGAGGCCTTTCTGAACGTCAAGCTATTTTAGCCGCCCTGGAGAATCCAGTGGAGGCCACGTCAATTGGCCAAGCAGTCATGACACTTCGGAAGTGGCTGCGATGGCGGAGGCGGGCGGAGGAAGTGGGAGTTTCGACTCCCGACCCCACGATTTTGGCTCGTGGACTCAGCAAGCTGACAAAGAAGTTGGTGGTTGTTCACCCTGAGCTCAACTTCAGGCTGCAGCTTGTCCGCAGTTCGTTGATGGTTGATGCTGTCCCAAGCCATGACGCCATTTCGAAGTACAGTGAGCATCTTCTTGCTGAGCTAGAACAAATGGGGCAGCAATCCCGAAAGAAGGAGAACACCGTCGACTTGCCGAAGGTCAAGAAGTTTGAAGAACAAGGAAAAGAAACAAAAGAAAAGAAGGAGGCCAGGGACGGTGATGACAAAGAGAAAGGGAAGTGTCGTTTCTTTTTGACGGACCAAGGATGTCGCAGGGGGAAACACTGTGGGTTCTCTCACGACCAAAAAGACGACAAGAGACGCTGCTGGGTGTGTGGTTCACCAGATCACTTTGCACCAGCCTGTACAAGACCAAAAGATTCCAAAGAAAGCCCACCGAAGCCAAAGATTGCCAAGGCAGAAAAGAAAAAGGTGGGAAGCAGAAAGGGGAAGAAGAAGGAAGTGATGATGTTCAACCGGCCATCAAAGAGCTTCTCAAGGAAGCCAATGACATGTTGCGAGGGATGAACACCACTCCATCCCCATCCTCTGCAAGCACCTCACCATCCGCAAAAGGTGGTGACTCTCCTGAAAGAAATGAAGTGGTGGAGAAGCTCCAACAGCAGCTCAATGCCCTCCGACAGAAGGCATTCCAGTTATGCCGGCTCAAGAAGGGGGAAAGACAGGGCTTGCTGGACTCAGGGGCGACGCACCCTCTCCGCCCAAGCAAGAAAGGTGAAGACAAGTCCACCTACCGTGTGGTTCAGGTCTCGCTTGCCGATGGACAAGTTGTTGAAATGCCAATCTCCCCAGGAGGTTCCATGGTGTCAGATGATGATGACATTGAGCCAATAGTTCCGATGGGATTGCTCACTGAGGCCCTTGGATGCACGGTCTCCTGGTCAAAAGATCAGCTTCAGGTCCACCACCCTCGACGGGGAAGGCTTCCAGTTGACCAGAAGGATGGATGTCCTCAGCTGCCTCGTGGTGTGGCCCTTGGGTTGATTGAGGAGATTGAGCAAGTGAAGAAAGGAATCAAGTTCATGGAAGATGACAGTTTCCACGATGAAGTACAATGGATGAAGCACTTTGTGGAAGCCCATCCGGTGTTTCGCCGGCTTCCTGAAGAAATCAAGAATTCGCTGGTCGTGAAACCAGGTGAATGGTCCTCCCTGCCGGCCAATCGTCGGAGGAGGAAAGCGATGAAGAGAGATGGATTTATCTGCCACTTGTACGCCGGGGAGGAGGAAGGCTTCACTCTCCAAAGGGCATGGAAGCAAGTTGGTGGAGATGAAAAGGAGTTGCTCGAAGTTGACAAGAAAAGGGGTTCCGGTCATGACATGATCCTGAACACTGGTCCCTATGCAGGTCTACTTCGAGCTGTGTGGGAAGGAAAGCTGCTCGGCCTAGTTGGAGGCCCAAACTGCAGGACAAGAAGCGTCCTTCGACATCGTCAAGTTGAATGGACGGACGCAAGACCTCTTCGAAGATGGGGGGGTGAAGAGTTTGGCATTGTGGACGCAAGTCCAGAAGAAAAGGAAAAGTTGAAAGAAGATGACCAGTTGCTGTGGAGGATGATTTTCTTAGCTGCCTTGGACACGTATTTGAGACGTGCCAGAGGACTTGATGGACAGCTTGGGTTCGCCCTAGAACAGCCAGCGTCACCGAAAGACTATGAGGCAGCAGTGGTCTCATTTTGGGACACCCTTGAGTGGCATGATCTTCGAAAGGAGTTCGGCTGGATGGAGACGACCTTCAGTCAAAAGCCGCTTGGAGGGGCTGCAGTGAAGCCCACTACGGTTGGTGGGAACCTTGAGCTAGCTCCTGAGGAATTTTCCATCAATGGCCAGATCCATCACCACGTCCGTGGGTTATGGGACCTAGCCAGATGGCCTCCGGGGATGATGTCGATGATTGCTGAGGCTTTGATGACTCAGGTTTTGCGAAAGCCAGTCAAGCTCCGTGCACTCTCCTGGGAAGAGCACCTGCTGCTGGGCCACACACCAAGTAGAAGAGATTGCCGTGTATGCCAAGAAACACGACAGCAATGCTCTCCACACAGAAAGGTGGAACACAAGTTGGCAGGGGTCCTGTCATTGGACACGGCCGGACCACTGAAGACAGCGTATGACCTAGGAGGTCTTCAGTCCCGCTACTTCTTGGTTGGGACGCTCACATGGGCACTTCCACTGGGCTTTGATGCTGACGTCCAGGGGAGGAAGTTCAGGAAGGTGAAGATGAAGAGTTGTGGCCCTTGATTGAGGCCAATGAAGAAGAAGAAGCTGATCAAAAGGATGATCAAGCACCAAAGGATGACCAGGTGCCGCCAAAGGACGATAAGGTGCCACTTGGTGAACGTCGAGGAGGATTGTCGGACGCTGAAGAAGAAGCGGGCCGAGGAGTCTTCGATGACGATGAAAGTGAAGAAGATGAAAGGGCCATTGAGGCCGAAGGAGAAGAAGATGAAGGGGCCATTGAGGCTGAAGGAAGAGAAGTTGATGCTGGGCCGCCAAAAGACTTCAAGATCGAGATCTTCAGGTTGGCATTGCCTATGCACTCAAAGAAGTCCAAGGAAGTCACAAGGACGACAATGGACATGCTGTTGAGGTTGAGGATGGAAGGATACTCCCTCGCTCAGATACACTCTGATCAAGGCCATGAATATGCAGGCCATTTTCAGGACTGGACAAGGCGGCGGGGAATCATCCTCACCAAAACCGCCGGGGACGAACCCCAGTCCAACGGACGTGCAGAGGCCGCAGTGAAAGCACTGAAAACGATGGTTCGAAAGGCTTTACATCAGGCCAAAGAAACTTCGAAGTGGTGGCCATGGGCCCTAAGACACTGCAACGAGGTTCTCAGAGCAAAAAGGCTCCACCAGTCTCCTGACTTCCCGCCCTTTTTGACGGAGGTCATGGTCCGGAGGAGAAGATGGAAGCGGGATGACCTGGCCCCAACAAGTGAACGGGTGAGGTATCTCTGTCCGTCCCCTGAGAACCACGGACACTGGATCGTGAGGGACGATGAAAGGCCCAGGCTCACGAGATGCTATATGAGGAGGTTGGAGGACCCACCGACAGAGAGGCATTGGATCGCCCTGGAGAAGGAAATTTTGGACGGTCTGAGGCTTCGAAGGAGGATTCGAGGCAAAACTGCCGTCAAAAGACTTCAAAAGGAAGTTGAGGATGAAGAGACAAAAGAAGAAAAGTTCAGGACCCGTGCAAAAAGGGTACTGGAAGAAGAAGCGCTGATGGCACTTGAAGATCCGCCGGACTTGGCCATTCTGACGTCCCAAGTCGTTGCTCAGATCAAGCGGTCTGTGGCGGTGGAAAGTCCAGAAGAAGAAGAAGTTCTCCAAACCCGAATCGTGTCCCCGAAAGAAGTGGCAGCAGGTTGGGTGATGTGGGAGGCTCCATCACAAGATGAGATTACGTCTCTCCTCACCGACAAGCTAGCCTTGAAGCCGGTCACCAAGGGGGAGGTCAAAAGAATGGTGGAAGATGCCGAGTCAAAAGGGGTGAAAGTTGAGTTTATCCCGTCCAAGCTTGTGTTCACCCGCAAGCCTGGAAAGAAGGGAGGAAAGAAGAAAGTCCGCTGGGTCGTTTGCGGAAACTTCGAAAGCAGAGATCCGAATGAAGAGAACTTCTCTGCTGGAGCCGACTCAGCTGCCCTTCGAATTATGGTCTGGGTTGCAGTGGTCTACCAGTGGGAGGGCTGTGTGGTGGGCGTCAAAACAGCTTTTTTGAATGCCAAAATGTCCCAAAAAGAAGATCAACAGCTGCTTTTGGTATGCCCACCTGCTTTTTTCGTGGAGCGTGGATCGCTGGCCAAGGACACATACTATGTCCCACTCAAGGCGGTCTATGGGTTCCGCCGCTCGCCACGCCTGTGGGGTGAGCACCGCGATGAAGTACTCCAAAAGATGGAGATCGAAGTTGAAGGAGAAGAAAGGCCCTTGTGCCTAGAGGCCTTGGATTCGGAGCCAAACTTGTGGAGGATTGTCGAACTCCATCATGACGAAGATGCACCAAAGCTCCGAGGGCTTTTGATGACTTATGTCGATGACATCATGATCACTGCCGAACGAAAAGTGATGTTGGCAGTCAAGGATCAGTTGCAAGCTCAGTGGACGACATCAAGTCCTGAGTACATAGCCGAAAAGCCAGTGAAGTTTTTGGGCATGGAGATCATCAAGCAGGTGAACCCGGAGACTGGCAGAGATCGATGGCTCATTTCTCAACAGTCTTACACGACAGACCTCCTTGAGCCAGAAGTGCACCAGCTCCGAGAGAAGAAGATCCCGATCTCAAAAGATCAATCGGCCATGGTGGATGATCCAAGCCCACCAACAGCGGCAGACGTTAAAGCTGCCCAAAAGACTGTAGGAGAACTCCTATGGATGGTGACGAGAACGCGCCCTGACATCATGTACGGCGTCTCAAGGATGGGTTCAGCCGTCCTCAAAGGACCACAAGCAGTTCTCGAAGCCTCCAAACAGATGAAAGGCTACCTTTGGAAGACGAAAGAAGAAGGCTTGATTTTTGAAGAGGAGGCCAACACTGAGCCAGTGATTCATGTGTACACTGATGCCTCCTACTCTCCAACCTCAGAGGAGAGCCATGGATGCCTGGTGGTCCTCCTGGGAAACAGCCCAATCCTGTGGCGATCTGGAAGGCAGTCGACGATTACTTTGTCAACTGCTGAAGCCGAGTTGAACGAAGTGATTGAAGGTATGGTTGCAGGAGAGTCCATAGGGGTGATTCTGGATGAGCTGTTCAAGCCCGTCGTTCGCATGGCTTGGACAGATAGCCAATCAGGAATGACGATCCTGACAGCCGAGGGCGGCAGCTGGCGGACGAGACACCTCCGCATGCGGTCTTCCTATGCGAGGCAAGTCATCCTCGACGGACTGTGGACCTTGCACCACGTGCCAGGTGAAAAGATGATTGCAGACTTGGGGACGAAGGCACTTGCAGCTCCTCGAGTCGAAACCCTCAAGAAGCAGCTCAACATGGGGCTACCTCTCGGAAACACCGAGATGAAGAATGAAGAAAGAAAAGGTGAAAGTGAAAGGAATGAAGAAGAAAAAGTGAAGAAGGAAGAAAAGGAAGTGAAGGGCCAAAATGAAGAAAAGGCCAATGTGATCATTAAGTTGATCACGATCGCCGCCACACTGGCAAGCGCAAAGGCGCAGGGGGAGCATGAAGATGATGAAGAAGAGATCCTGGGATGGGAAGTTATGATGATCCTCATTCCTCTGGCTCTGATGGTGCTTCTCTTAGTTTGGTGCCTGAAGGAGGGAGTAGCACGCAGCCGAGACCAATCACCAAGTGACCAAGAGTCGGCAGTGCGAAGTCCTCCCAGGACACCACCTCGACGAGAAGCCAGACTGCGAGCCATAAGAAAGAAAGAAAGAAAGTGAAGATGATGAAGAAGAAGTGTCTCGGCCATCTCATTTGCCGAGCCCAATGAGATCACCAGGATCTGCACCACCTCACACTCCAACCCAGCTTCCAGTGACCCAAGTCACAATGTGGGGGTTTCCTTCTCCCAATGGTCGATGGCTCCAACCAGAAAGGTCACCGTCATCTCCGACGGGATGCCGTTTGGACAGCCTTAGCGAGATCAGAAGGAAGAAGAAGAAAGAGGAAGCAGAAAAGAACCGAAGAGAGGAAGAAGAAGAGGAGCGAAAGAATGAAGAAGAGGAATCAGCTGGGGCTGCATCATCTGCTGCGATGGCATCAGCAGACGCCCAGTCACGATTCCAACAGAAAGGAGAAAGCAGCGCACACGCAAAAGCACAAGTGAGGCCTCCGCCAATGCAGCAAGGTGAAGGCCAGGATCCAAAGATCTTGACGACCAAGTTCGGAAGAGTACATCACCGAACTATGATGTGCCCTTACTTGACCAATCCTCGGACGGGGACGGTCAAGGAAAGTCGATGGTGCGAAGAGTGCACCAGCATGATGGGAATGATGACATCTGTCACCCTGTGGACAACCAGTTGGGGTGGCATTGCACACTCGAACAGGGTGTGTCGGTTGCTTCGGGGTGAGGTTCTCCGATACACGCCCTGCTCGGCCTGTTCTGGCCAATGAAGACGAAGCAGCTTGAGCTGGAAGACCAAAAGCGGTCGAATTTTGATGAAAATGAAGAGGTTGATGACCATGGCAGCCTAGCGTCACCATGGAGGGGGAGTGTTGTGAGCATTGCACTTGACACCTTGACATGGTGAACCGATCGAAGCTGCTTTAACTTAAGCGCCCAAAGAAAAAAGGGGCGATCCCGTGCGCCGCCATTTCGTTTGGAGCCGACCTTTCGTTGTGGTTTCGCTTTCAAGAGAAGAGTTTTTTTTGCAGAGCGGTTGGTTGCAAGCCTGGTGACTCACACCAGTTTCATTCTTTCTTTTCTTGTTGAGCTTTCTCACCTCTACCCACCATGGAGCTGAGGCCCAACAATGCTTTGAGAAGGGTGTTGGCACACATGTTTCTGGTCAATACGCGCGAAGCTCAGCGAAAAGTGGCCACTATCGAAGAAGCAAACTCGGAAGGCGTCAATCCCCCATCCAAATCATGAAAATTGCAAGATTCCAAAGAAAACACCACTTCTACAGGTTCTTCCACACGTTTCTCGACTGAGGCGTGGGAAATGGCTAAGAAGGGTTCAGTTTGGAGATAGAACCTTTAAGCTCATCTTCCAGTCTCGAAACTTCCAGGTGTCCATCACTCGTACTGCCTTGGAATTGTTGCCGTCATGTTCCAAGCTTGTTCTGCCATGGCATCCCTGTCCTTGGGAATCCCGTGGTTCTTCAGGAAGATCCAGGCATCGTCCAAACGGCCGCCACCACATCCATTGTTGGTATCATCACACTGCACCATCAGTTCCGGAGACAGGCAAAGAGCTTCCAAATCCTGAAACAGTTTGGGGAGAGCGACTCTGCTTTGGCGTTGGACACCCAAGGCACCTAGGTTGATGGTTGAAACTTAGAGCAGGTATGGCCACTGATCCTTTACAGTTGGGTGGCTCTCAAATTCCGATTGTGCAAGCCGGAGGGTCGGGAGGTCATGAAGACTTGAGGATCCAAACCACAGAGTGGCGAACCATTTTATGGTTTTCACATGTTTTCAAGTGTTCATACAAGGGGGCCTCCACCTAATCCTGGACTCCGAACCACTCACCAAGCTGCCTCGAGCTGATCATCAGAAGCCGCGATCTGCATCCAGCTCTGGTGCTGCATGGCTGCAACACAAAAGCGATCAGTCATCACCTCTGAGCACACAACCACAGGTTGCATAAGGTTTTTTGCTCTGAATTGTTGCAGCTATAGGCTGTAAGGCATTTAAAAGATCAGGGGGTTCATTCTACCATGAACGTCTCCCAATACCGGCGCCGTCGGCAAAGCCCGGCTGGCCCACGAGGAGGGTGAAGTTCTCGTCCAGCCACGAGCCAAACTGGTTAATTTGACTGTGCAAAGAGTTCATCAGTGAAATCCATTTTACTTAAAACTAATTTTATTTACTGTAACCCTTAAACTAAATAAGCAAAACAAAATGGTTTTACCGTGGTCGACCACGTCATTTTAGATTTGTCGGTAGCAACAGGGATCTAGAAATTATAACTCATTCCCGATGAGATCCTATGAGTCATATCCCGGTTTCGTGAAAGCCTCTCCTCATCTGTCCGTTCTCTCTCTCTCTCTCTCCCTCCCTCCCTCCCTTCCTCACTCCCAATCCCGCCGTTGCTGCAGCCACAGCCCAGCACGATCCGCAGGGCCCCTCGAGCAATGCAAGCTCGGTGTGTGTCCACAGCTTGGTTTTGTATCCATGGACTCCATGGACTCATGGACGTATTCTATGCTATTCATGTGCAAGCATCCTTGTCCCACTGTAAAATAATGTAAAATACTTTCAACAAATCAGCGCAGGTGCGAGACATTCATGTCCGAGACAGCAACGTCGCGCATGGCTGGGGTCTCCATGGGTCTCCTGATTTCGGATGAGGCCGATGGAGTTGCACTTCGGCCAGTGCGCTCGCGCATCGAAGGACTCGGGGGGCGAGGAGCCGTTCCGCAGAAAGCTCGCTGGCCTTGGTGTGGGGGCGGGGCAGTTGCTTTAGCAATAGACACTCACAACAACAGCCTGGATATACTGCATACACACACACACCTTGTTCTTTGGGAGGATCAATTAATCTCCTGTGGCTGTCTGGGCAATTACAAGGTTTGTTGATTATGCTTCGTCCGGGCCCCAAAAACTTCAGTAATTGACTCACTCTTCTCCCCTAAAGCAAGTGCCGCTTTAGCTTTCGCAAGCAACTTAGCTTCATAATGACACAGGGGGGAAAGCTGCCCAACAACATATTTGTGACATTGTTACCCATGTCCCTTGTCGCCGAGCTACAATGCAGCTTGGCGACGCGGGACAATGGATGACAGCATGATCAATCCAGCATGAGTTTCAATACAATTCAATTTACACTAATGCAATGCCTTTATGCAAACTAATACTATACAATGCATCCAGAGTCTTGTGAGACAAACGGAAAACGAGCGGCTCAGTACACTTCTCGATTTGTTCATGTCAATGTAGCTGAATGACCAATCTCCCTCAGACGTGCTTGAAGAGACCCGTAATTCTTACAAAATTCGACCAAATTCAATGAAATAAAGTTCCTGCCAAAGGACAGAGTCCTTCCATGTGACATTCTGTGCAGCAAACTGTGGAGCACGACGATGCTCTCTTCCACCGGACGCTACTAGGAGCAAAGGACATCGCTACTAGGAGCATCTCCTTGACGATGCTCTCTTCCACCGAGTCCCCCGACGCGCTCCGAAGCGGAAGCTTCAAGGGCCCCATCTCGGTGCCCAGCGACGGGAGCATCTCCTTGACCTCTCAAGTGGACGGAAGCGGGGCGCAGCGATGGGCAAAACAGTTGCAATCAATAGGTCAATAGAGAGAGTCTGTTTTGTAAAGGCCAGGGGAGTAGGCCGCTATAGGAAGAGGTAAGCTATAGCTAGCTTACTTTTATATAATGGTATTTTTGTATTTTTTTTGCTGCTTTTGACTGTTTTCATGGGGAGTGAAAGAGCTGCAAAAACGAGAATAGAAAATAATTTTCAAACATTTTTGTGGTGACTGAACCGCAAAAACACTAAAAGGCAAAGATGCACGCCATCATTATGTTTCATCAGTTCCTCCTCCCAAATGGTTTGATTCCTGTGATCACATTTTCCCCTTCAGGTGTGTGTGCTATCTTGGTCTTGTTGAAAATCTTTCACTTACACATACATGGGGTGAAAATAAAATTCAATAGCTTCCACGAGAAAGCTCACATGAGAAAACGAGACTTGAAAATAGCGCAGGGCTAGTCATTTTGCACTTGCACTGCTCCCTCATTCACGCACGCACAGGCTGCCGCCAGTGGCCGGAGCAGCCACATGGCGACAGTCTGTGGGAAACCTAGTTTAATTAGCATTGCTTGCCACACTTTAATTTAAAGCGCCCAGTCTTCAGATTGCAAGTGATTGCGCACCCAGCTGCGACCTGCCTCTAAATAAGCTCCATGAGAATGTGTGTAGCAAGTCTGTGGGCCTGTGGCCATTGGCTTTTGCTCAAGCATTTGTATTTTTGCAAGAGCTTCCAAGGGTGATAAGACTTGAGCAGTTTCTGTTGACCAAATGAGCTGTTTCGCCACAACCCTTTCCATTATTGCCATCATCATGGAAAAACTGCGCGTTTTGACGTCGCAGCATTGCAATGTGAAGTTCAACTAAAATTCACGTTTTGAAGGACGCTTTCCCTTGGGCCAAACCATTCAATTATCCTTTACTTGCAACTTGCGAACTTAAGCACACATGACTGACCTCAATTATCAACCCAGACCCAGACACCTAATAATTTTTCCGCACCAGCAAGTTTCAAAAAACGCTGGCCGAAGCAGCCAGCAGACGGTGTTGGCCCTGGCCGAAGCAGCCAAAGGCCACTCACCCCTCGTCCAAAGGATCCCAAACATCCTCCTCGAATGCCTCTTCCTCCTCTTCATTGTCGTCGTCATCTGCCTGCTCTGCCTCGAGACGCGGCTTTTTCGACTTGGGCTCTGACTTTGCCTCCGCCTTTGGTTTTCCCTTAGGCTTGGGAGCTGGCTTTGGCTTGGGAGCCGACTTTACCTTTGGCTTGGGGCGTGGCTTGCGCTTCGGGGTCGCTGGCTGCGATGAAGAAGTCGTTGACCCCACAGCTTGCGCATAGGCACTGTTGAACAATGGCGAGGCAGTCTCCTTCACGCTCACCTTCATTAGGTCCAGGAGCCGTTCTTCCATCAGCTTGACATGGGTGTCAATGTAGCAGATGCCCATGTACGCAGTCCTAGTCTTGACGCATGCCCACGCCAACTTTCCATCAGCTGGGCTCAAGTCCAGCACCAGCTTGGCATAGAAGGTGTGCAGGAGCTCCTCCATCAGCTCAAGCGGTGGCGAGAAGTAGCAAACAGGCTCGGGCAAATCTTTGGTTCGGTCGTTGATTTTTGGCTCATCCTCTCCACCTTCTGCGCGCCCGCCCACCGCGATCAAGTGGCGCTTGCCATACAGATCCTTTTTCTCCGACCACTTCATGCTCCATTCATCAGTGAGCTTAGGAAGGGCCACGCCCTGAATGAGGTCACCTGTTGAGCTGCCAACATAATGGAGTCTTGGCCGAAGCAGCTAAAGCTTTCAAACTTGCTTCACTTGAGTGAAAAACGGCTGCAAACGAGCAATTTGAAGTCTGAGAAGAGAGGGCAGTGAGGGGACAACTATGGGCAAAACTATATTATATAGTGGTATTTTTGTTTCGCCCTCTCAAAACCCTCTCCTTTCGAGGTTCAAGAACGTTCCCGAAGCTCGGGTGGAGAGGTCAAACCGCCCTCTCCTTTCAAGCACTGTCGTCGATTTTTTCACCTTCGAGCTGAGAAGTCAGCTCGCGCCTTGCCCGCTTCCAACTTTCTAAGGTTTTTTGATTAGCCAGTGACTTAACCTCAAGCCTACAACAAACCCTGCAACCTTGGCCGAAGCAGCCAATGGAAGTAACGGCTGCTGCGACGAAGTTAGCCCGGCCTGCTCTTTTTGGAAAGGCGTGCTGCAGCCTTAGGCCACACGATCCCACTTTTGAAGCTGCCAGTCTTCAAATAAAGGGAGTCAGGTGCGATCTGCACTGCAAAGGCAAAATCCCCAAACCAAGTTTCCAACATAGTGTCCCAGTCGAAGCGGTCGTGAGTCGCCCGACTTTGTGACAATGCTGCCATCACTTCAGTAGCGTGCCAAAAGTCATTTTTGACATAGTTATTCAATGCCAGTGTCTTGCCTGGCGCACGCGCAGGAAGAGCAGTCATGATTCTGTGCTTTGGTCGCGAGTGAAGGTCGGACAACGCGATTGTGGCGCAAATATCCAAAGCAAAAACAATGTCTTCCAACGCATCCGCTGGTGCGTTCCACCCGGTCAAGGACTTGGAACAAAGGAAAAGCCAGAAGCAACCTCTGACGGCTCCATGGTTGCAAAGTGCAGAAACTGAGTTTCTTCGTGTGAACTTTTCTCAGCGCGACTTGTCACAGGCATGAGCGCTGCAAAGGAGCTAGCCATTGAACTCTTTTAAGTGTTAACTACTTAGCCTCAAATGTGAGCCCCAAGCTGAAAGCAAACACTATACCGAGCTGGACATGGATGACGACTTGACTGAAGTTAGGAAAACCAGGGCTTTGGTGCAAAACTTGGATTGTTTTCCCCATAGCTGACCTTAGTTGACTCACTGCTAAAAAAGCTTCTGGCCGCATCAGCCAGGAAGCTGACCTTAGTCGACTCACTGCCAAAATAGCTTCTGGCCGCATCAGCCAGGAAGCCAAGCAGCCAAGCGTAGTGCCACCCATTGAGAGTTTGCGAGCCTTGGTACGCGCATGTTTTTTTAAGTTCTCATGCTGCAGGGAGCCTGCCTCTCTGACAGCATACATAGCGAACTTACTGCTGCATTTGCTGAAGCTGCATGCTTTGCAACCAATGCCCCACGGTTGCTCTTGGTCTGACAGCCATGACCCACCTTCAGGATCATGTGGGCTCAAAACAGAAACTCATGAGTCCACTTGTCGCATAAGCGCTTCCATTTCTTGTATGCAGAATCCTTCTCACATAGCGTCATGACAAGTGCACAGGCCTTGGCCGAAGCAGCCAAAGGCCTGGGCACCTGGGGCGACGCACCCTGAAGTTACACTAGGTGAGATTAATGGCCCAAAGGAGCAACGAGCAAGCCAAATATCTTCACAAATGTGAAAAATAATTTTCTTGTGCGTAGACGAGGAATGTGGAAGGCTCAAACGAGTTTGAGGTGCTCATTGAAAAGTTAGAGCTTTGAAACAGCAACCACATTCCAAAAACGGTGCAGTTAATGATAGATTATTAATATCTAGCGTGTGTTACTTGATTTGCCTCTGTGCGCTGCTGCTTAGGTGAAGCATGACATGAACACATGTCTTCAAAGGTAAACGCGAATTGAAAATTGATTTTGCATCCAAATTGACTTTTTTAGTTTTGAGGGAAAAACGGCCAAAAAAAAGAATACAAAAATACCACTATATAAAAGCAAGCTAGCTATTAAGATCTATGAAGTAGGACGCTCCTAGTAACTGGACGCTGGACAGCTCATGCTTCTATTCATGTGGTTCCTACGTTACAGTAGATTTTTAGAAAAACAAAAAGGAACTTCGGGATCTGCTGAGAAGGGGGTGAGTTTATAGTGGATTGTCCTGCACACGTGTCATCGCATTTGGTGTTCTCAAGGTTTGGTCGTCCTCGGCTTTGTCCATCAAATCTTGCGCCCCGGAATCAGTGGCGGCACTTGGTTGAGAGGAAATGTTCGGAAGAATGTGCTTTAAACGAACTGAAAATAAAATTTTGAATTAAGTAAATGCTACTAGGAACAAGTGCATCGCTACTAGGAGCAAGGGCCTTACTAGTAGTAACAAGAAGCTATTAGAACTAAACAGTGCTCCGGCGCTCTGCTTGTAGGTTATGAATTGGGTCGTATCGAGATTCCACAACCAAGCTCGATGCAAATGCATCCCAACAACATGGGCCATTGTCAGAGTTTGCAAAAATCATGGCGGCCCCTTCTTCAGAGCCTTCACACCATCCCAAAAGTCATAGGCATCGGTTTCCCAATGACCAGAGGCCTCGCCTTTGCAGCTGGTTTTCACTTCGGTGGGATCAGGATTTGGTCCAACCGATTTGCATGTCCTCTCCCTTAGATCGGTTCATGACCTGCTGGTCGCACCGTCACACCCGAAAGGGCTTATCACCGGTTGTGGTGCATCATGACTGTGGGCCCTTGACTCTTGAATGCTTCGTGATGAAAGCATTCATTGAAATTCAATGTTCAGCCCGCGGCTTTTCCACTTGTTGCTAACAGGGTCAAAACATATCAAAACGCAAAATATGCAATCAACTACGCCCTCGATGAATGCTGATTCTTGATCAATAGTGCCATGTAGCCGCACGGAATGCCCTGCCGAATCTTTGCCAACAACACCCTGCTGGGGAGAACACATCTTTGGTATCGCAATCGTCAGAGTCTAATCTTGCTTACTTCAATCATCGTTGGCTGCTAGTTAGGAACCACCATTAAGCTCCCATCAAGCTACCAAAGAGCAGCTATTATACTGGTCATAAGAGTCATAAGTTCCAACAAACAAACGAACAAACAAACAATCATATGAACCATCATAGTCACATCATACATTTTGTGAAACTGCTTTATTTATGGATTTATGACTGATCCCACATGATCCCACAAACCGACTCCAAAAATAGTCCCTTTTTTCAGGTGACCCTTTCGGGGCCGAGCCACGATTAATCCGCTGCAAGCGATCTTTTCCATTCAACTCGGCATCCAGCTCCTTCTGCCCCACGCGGCCCTGCAGTCAGCTCCGATGAGTCGCTAACCGAAAAACGATCCACCTAACTCATATTTGGTATATTGGACGGAATTGCAACAGCAGCTTCCAGCAGAAGCATGTCTCATTCCGCACTAGGAAGTAAAACATTTGCCTGAAGATTTCATGTTTTGATGTATGTGTATACTGTATACTATGAGGGTGCATGGATGCGAACCGTTGTGTAAGCTTCCCAGCCCCTACCTTTGAACACCTGTGATCGAAAGGCTTGATCTCAGCACATGTTGACACGCCTTGGATGACTACATTGCATGAAATGTAGGTAAGCTGAGAAAGGCTGAAGGAAAGAGGGTGAGAATGAGAGTATGCGCTCAACCATCTGGGGTGGGACTGTCCACCCACCCCCTGATTATTTATTAAAATAATTGAGGTGGTCTGACCCCACCCCCCTGGAAATGAATTGGAGGGTGTGCACACTGTCCTGAATAATTTCCAGATATCCATAGGAACTGTGTATAAAAATGCAGCCATTCCAGCAGCTTTTTTGTATGTGCATGTGATGCGAAATCGATGCAGGAGTTTGCACCAGTCATGAGATGTCATGAGTCTCATTTTCTTTCATGCTATTTCTCTGGTATGCATGGTGTGCTGCACATAACAGCTTGTTTGGCACCCCCACCCTCAATTGATTAGTCATTTTTGGGTAGAGATCACTGGTGGCCAAGCATGGTCTTGGGGTGGGGTCGGGGGTACCCCCACCCTCAATTAATTATGCTCTTGTTGTTTCAAGCAAATACCAAATACAAACATGTTTTTGAACTGATCTCGTCGTAATTTTGAGTTGTTCTTTCTTTTTTAATAAGTCCCTCTGACGTGCAGCAGGTAGCTTCAGACCGACTACTTCCAAATGCTGTGGATCTGCCGTCTTTGTCTGCAGCTGCCTGGTATTTTATATAATCTAGGTGGGTTGACTCCAGGTGGGAATTTTAATCTCTGGGTTG